GGGCTCCCTGAAGGGCCACAGCTTTTCTTTTTTACTGATGCTCACAGCATGGCGAGTGAGGGGCAGGTGTTTAAGCTCTGTTTGTGTTACAGCTCTTTCAATCTTGCCATTTGGTGGGTCTCGAGTTCTTTTCCTACATTCAGGAAGAATGAGGTACATGGACAACTGGAGGATGAGCAGGACGGAAAGGAGACTTATTAAGCAACAGAACAGCTCTCAGGAGACCCAAAGTGGGTAGCTCCTTTCTGCAGGCAGGTCATCCTGATGAGTGTCCAGCTCTCAGCAGAGAGGAGACCCAGAGTGGTGGCCCCTTTCTGCAGGTGGTAGTCCCCATGTCCGTGTGAGTCTGTCTGAGTCTGGGGTTTTTATGGGCTTCAGAAGGAAGAAAGTGAGTGCTGATTTATCCATGGGCAGCCATGGGCAGGCCTGGACCCAGAACTGGCAGTCTGGTCCCCAGGCTTCAGGCCTTTCCTGGCTTGAAGGAGGGGTTTCACCAGGGACCCACCCCTTTCTGCCTAGGAACCTGTCTGCCTCCCATCATCATCAACATGTCTTCCATGACACCTTGGCTGTTCATGCCAAGGGGCACCTGCAGGCCTGCACTGCACTGCCCTTAGCCCCACTGGCCTCCATTCTGTTCTCATTGGCACTTAAAGTCTGGAGGTAGCTCAGACATTGGGGGGCTGCTATATCAGCACCGCCCTGATTATGCAGACACCCAGCTTGGTTGTGACAGTGTCTGGGCTCAGCCACAACTTTGCTCCACCCTGGAGCCGGCACTGGAAGTGGCGAGAGGCCAGAGAGTGGGAGCAGGCACTTCTAAGTCTACAGGGGCAGGAGGGGCTTCCCAGGCTCCCTAAATGCAGGGAATGCCAGGGTCTGGAGCCATGGCTGGGCAGCTGCAGCTGCCCCCAGAACTGCAGGGCACCCGTCCCACCAACTCAGTAGGGGGCAGGGATCCTGCCTGTTCCTGCCCCCGCTGGCTTCATGGAGCACACGGTCCTGGCTGCATCTCCTCTGCTGCAGCCAGCATCTTCACAGCAGCCACTCCAGATGGGCCGCTGCTGCCATCAACAACAGTCCAAAAAAGAATAGTTAATATTGCTCTTTAGTTGCCTAAAGTAATGCATACTCCTGTGACAGGTCATCTCATTTATCATGTTCCATTGTGGCTTACTTGCCTCGCCAAACTTTCAACCTCCTTTGAATACTTTCCTGTAAAACATCAGCTACTGGCTGATTGTTTTCCACCTTGCTGTTCTTATGACCAGTTTTTAAGATCAGCTCCTCCTGCTGTTTCTTCTTCTTCCTGCTGGTACCTAAGCTGCCCTGAGAGCATTGCATTTAACTGTTGATGTACAGTGAGTCAGTGACCCGGAGCACTCAGTATTCTCCACTTTCTCATGTATGTTCCTGACTTCAGTATGTCTGTGACTTAACTGTTTCACTTGGCATGGCTTTTGCGTTTAATAGATTCAGGTTTTTATTTATGAAGCATTTTGGTGATTTGCTTGGGAAAAACGATCTTTTCAGGAATTCTATTTTTAAAAAGGCAACTTACAGTTGCCTTTTTATAAATTATGATTTATAATTTATAACTACTCATTCAGGGTGTCCTTTAGAAAAACTTAACCTTCCCAGTTAATTATCAATAGTGGTCACTACCTTTAAATTACAATTAACTAGAAAAATACTCAGTAGTGAATGAAAATATTTGTATTAATAAAACTACTCAGAAGCAGCTTAAGGAAATTCTGAGATGTTTCTTTTTGATTAGTCTGGGGCAAAGTCTTTATCACCACATGCTGTCAGTCACTACGAAGTTTCTGAGACACTCTCCTGCTCTCCCTCTATTCCACGGCTCCTGCTCAGAGCAGATACCATTACCATATCCCCAGAAACCTCTCCTCTGATCATGGCCCTGGTTTTGCCAGATGGCTCTATTATGACGACTGCAAGACTTGCGCTGTCAGATTGTCTTTTTGCAGGTAGGTGCCTGCTAGTGAATAGATTGTTACATCCTAGTGAGTGAGAGGACCTGGTGTAGGCAGTCCTGGAGTGGTAAGGCCTGTGTTGTGTATTACAAGTTTTAGATCAGAGTTACTGAATTCGTTACATTGTATGCTTTGTTTCTGTGGGAAGCTTCTCTATCAACCACTTCCTCTTTTCTCTCCTTTTCCTGTTCCCTCCCCCAACACACACGCCATACACCCCTGAAATTCATATTATACATTAGAGTAATCTGAGTTCCTTTAGTGCTATAAACTTTCCAATGCCTATATAGATGTCAGTTTTTAGTAGTAAACAGTCATTTATGGCTGTTTGTTCTATCACTAACATAAAATCCATAATGCAATATATATTTTATATAATAGCATATAAGTGTATGCACGCATCGTGCCACATCATTTGGTCAGTGTAATGGCAGGAATGTGACATATTAAAGATGGACAGGAAAAGTCTGTCACTTGTAGAACAACCACAGGAGTCTGAAAATATCACAACTATACTAAACAAATTTTCGTTTGAAGAAATTCTTCCTGATTTTACAGAATCCTGCATTTTAACTTTCACATAACACATATAAGAGATGTAATATATTCTGGGATTCTATAAAATATTCATGTTCATGGTTTTTTTTTTTTTTTTTTTTTGAGACAAAGTATCACTCTATAACCCAGGCTGGAGTACGGTGGCACAATCTCAGCAAACTACAACCTCTGCCCCCCGGGCTTGAGTGATTCTCTCACCTCAGCCTCCCGAGTAGGTGGAATTACAGGTGCGTGCTACCACGCCCAGCTAATTTTTGTATTTTTAGTAGAGACAGGGTTTCACCATGTTTTCCAGGCTCGTCTCAAACCCCTGACCTCAAGTGACCCGCCCACCTCGGCATCCCAAAGTGCTGCGATTACAGGCATGAGCCACCACGCCCAGCCACATGTTCACATTTCTGAGTTTGCATTAGTTCAAAACATCAGAAAGACCAAAAGCTTAGAGCTGAGGGGAGTTGGTGGGGGGCGGGGCAGGGGAAGAGTGCACAAGAGTGACCACATGTTTGTAATTTCACCCAGTACATGGATCTGGAAAGATCCATAGTTACATGTAAGTGGTTCTTAGGATAAAACCTTTGTAGCCAGCCTAGGCAACATGGCAAGAACTCAAAAAAAAATTTTTTTTTTTACAAAGTTAGCCGGGCATTGACAGTGGCATGTGCCTGTAGTCCCAGGTACTTAGGAGGCTGAGGTGAAAAGATCACTTGAGCCTGGGAGGTCAAGACCACAGTAAGCTGTGATTGTGCCACTGCACTCCAGTGTGGGCAACAGAGTAAGACCTTACGACAAACGAACAAACAAAAAACCTTCATAGTGTCTCCACAGAAATCTTCTCTATGTTTAGTGCTGATTTTAGAGCTATTATCCTCAAGAAGCTTTGCTGAACTGGCTTCTGTATATGTATCAGTTGCAGGTAGGAGTGCCTACTGGTCCTAGGTATGCTTCTGGAAGCAAAGATTCATGCTGTGGCAGCCCTGGAGTGGTTGGGAAGTTTAGAGTGTTACCGGCTTGAAGAATGCTCTTGTACCATAGTTGATCTGAACAAGTCTGTAGATAACTGTCAGCTTAAACTTCTAGGCTGAAAGGCAGAATGACCTGGTAGAAAATGCATAAATTTTGAAATCAGATTTGGATTTAAACTCTGGCTTTTCTGTAAGTTTGTATAAGTTGTAACCTTTAGCTTATTTCTCTGAGCCTCAGTTTCTCCATCTGAAAAATTCAGGGCAGTTATGAGGAATAAATGGAATAGTATATCCAAAAGTGCCTGGCACTTGGTAAGGAATTAATAAATATTATTCTCTTTCTCTCTCTTTCCACTACTGGAAAGTAGAGGATTGGGGTGAGTAACATCTGCAGTGACTTGGTTTGGCTCCCCTTCCTAGTTTGACCTGCCAACTACATTTTCAGGCAAAGTTCTTGGAAATCATCTGTTCTATCCCCAGTGAGTTAGAGAACAAGTACCTAAGGAAATTGCAAGCCTGGAGGGAGGCTAAGAGAGACAGTTCCCGGGCCTTCTCTGGGAGCTGTATTAGCTCCACACTTTCCTGTGTGATACTTGGTGCCACACAGCTGAGACAATGAGACTGCACATTATTTATTTACTTTTTAAGATTTCTTAACTCAGTGTGAACATTTTCTTTAATCTCATCTAATACAAAATCCAGTTGGAGGTTATAAGAAGTTGATATGTAATCCATACTTTTATTCACAGGTGATTGATCTTTAGCTAGAAGCATTTACAGTTATACTGCTTTGAAATTTTTGATCAGCTTAAACAAGAAAATGACATTTAAAATAAATTAGATTGGACAGAGGTCACATAATCTATTGACTGTGTGAAGAGTTAGGATGCGTGATCCAAAGGCCTCTCATATCCTTTTAAAATGTCCTTAGGCTCAGTTATGCAAAGTAAAAGATAAAGGTTTATTTTTTAAATTAACTTAAAATGTTATTGAAATAATGAGAAATTAAAAGACTTGATGAGCTCTAACACTAAAGTATCTGCATTTATTTTTTTAAAATGTAACTCTGTCATGTTTGAATATGTGGCTCGCAGTCTGTGCTTTGAATAGCTCATAGTTTGGGCTCATAGCCTGTCCTGGAAGACTCTTCCTTTAAGTAACCCCTTCATCACGATAATACTAGGTATGGTATTCCTTTCACCTTCTCTTTTTCCAATTAAATTTTAGAGCACGCTAAAACCCTGGAGTCATTCTGGAGTTAAATAGACTATAATATCAGATTTTAGATAAATAGCATAAAGTAAAACTAGTAGGATGTGATATGAGTTTTTTAAAGCCACAAGTGAAATTTATCAGTAGTTAGGGTATTATCTTCAGAAATATTTGTAAATATTTCCAGAACTAGTTTCAGTTTTGGTAGTGAAAATATTCACTTAGGATACAATTTTGTAATTGTTTTTCTTTTTCTTCTTCTTTTTAATTTCAGGGTCAGCCTGGGCCTCAGGTAAGATAATTCTTTTCTGGCAAATAATTATTTTCAATTTAGAATTTTTCCAGTGTGGAGGTCTTTCTGCAAATCTTTCAAAAGATATAAAAAAGCTATGAACTGGTAATCACGACACCACACAGTAGACCAAATATTTCCCAGGAGTAAACCCTTGGGGCCTCTTCAGGGTTGTGTGAGCCACATCAGCTGTTGGGCCAGATGGCAGATTTAACAATGTACTATCATATAAAGCAAAACTCTTAACTGATCTGAAACAGTGCCACAGGACTTTAATGTAAGACAGCATGACATAAAAGTCGAGTCTGAACTGGTTTGCATTATGTACTGATTAATCGTGTACTAATAATGTTGTGAATCCCTGCAGACTCTGATTATTTAGACTGTGATCCTACCAGCTACTTTTGATTCATTACAGACAGATATTGAATTTTTAATTTAGAAACAACTGCCAAAGACATGATTTATAATTAAGCATGAACGCAGTCAACAGAAAATCTTACTGAGCCCTAAATCATATTGAAGAAAATAAGCAAATTTTAGGAAGGGGAGGAATGTGGTATGAAGACGGAAATACAAAAGAAGAAGTGAGTTTTCAGAAATGAAAAGTCAGTACAAAAAACTCAAACAACAAATTCAATATCAATACTAATGGTAACCCGTAGGATTCTATAGAGAAGAAAATGCAGTTATTAATGTTTTACTTTTAATACTCCAGTGCCTATAAATAATATAATTACTTACTGAACTCATCTTCCATCGCTTTCCCCTTGATGTACTGAATGCTATTTCTGCCTTAGATTGTTTCACAAATAAGCCATTTTCATGATAGCTTTGTAGTCAATATCATGAATTATCTATTGTGTGCTCCACCTCATACCAGATCACAAGAGTATTATTTATGGTTTGTATGATCTCTATATATAGATGTCTAATGAAACAAAAAATTCCACATACTTCAGTAAACAAGTTCTTTTCACACCAAGCTTATGAGAAAGTTTGACTTTTAATTAATTTGTATTGATATCTGAAAATACCTATATTCTCATCATTTGTGATTTTCACTCTTGTATTCCATGTTGGTTCAAGGTAATTATTAATGGAATAAAACCCATAGGAGAAAGTTATAGCTTGTTTACTAAATTTGAAATAACCGTATTATAATGGAATGAAGACAAGTAAAAGGTGTTTTGCATGGTTTCTTTTGTTTTTTGAGGGTTTTTGTTTTGCTTTTTTTTTTTTTTTTTCTGAGATGGAGTCTTGCTCTGTCACCCAGGCTGGAGTGCAATGGTGCAATCTTGGCTCACTACAACTTCCGCCTCCTGGGTTCAAGTGATTCTCCTGCCTCAGCCACCCAAGAAGCTGGGATTACAGGCACCTGCCACCACACCCTGCTAATTTTTGTATTTTTAGTGGAGATGGGGTTTCACCATGTTGGCTAGGCTGGTCTTGAACTCCTGACCTCGGGTGATCTGCCCGCCTTGGCCTGCCTCCCAAAGTGCTGAGATTACAGGCATGAGCCACTGTATTCAGCTTGCAGGTTTTCTTTTATTTGATGCTTACAACAGCCTTGGAAAGTATTATTACCCTACGTGTGTGTGTGTGTGTGTGTGTGTGCGCGCGCGCGCACGCGCACGCGCATGTGTGTATAAACATACAGAAACAGAAGAGATAAATTACTCACGTGAATAACACCATGAACTGGGAGCTAAACTGAAGTCTGTATCTAAAACCCTCATACTTTGTAGTGCTCAGCCCTTGAGAGAAGGTGGTGAGACAGCCGATGATAAAAGAAGTTGAAGAGTTGATTTTGAGAGATCATAATCTTTAACATACTTTAATTATTAATAGGATCTCTGTCTTAGCTGTACCTTCTTTCCTGCATCCCAAAGCAGTTCTTAAGAAATTGAGCATAAATAATTTATTTGAGAGATGATCCTAGAAAGCATCATGAGAGAGTGGAGAAATGACATAGGGAAGGCAACAACACCAAAAAATGGGTGCCTCAATTTGCAGGTTACTGCTGTGGACAATTGGGGCTCAATCCTGCTGAGGAATCTTGAGAGACTGTGTAGAGCATGTTGCAGAATCATCCCAGAGAGGGACAAGGAAGTTGATGGATTTATCCACTAATTTCCCTGCCTTTACTGTTGAGGGTCGCAGCTGGGTGCTGGCTTTTCAGCACTCCTGGCCTGCTGTGAAAGCAATTTAGGAAGCCATAGCGATGTATGGGACCTGTATTCTAGCACTGTCTTAGAGCAGGTAGTGGTGGACAGGCACCTACATGTGCCACAACATCCAAGTGTACGTGTCTTGTAGACAAGACAGAGTAGAAAATTCAGATATAAATAGAAAGACTTGGGAAATTAAATATAAAGGCAGCATTAAATGCATAGTAATTAATAAGATACTAAAGAGAGTAACTGTAAAAAGAAAAACAGTCATAGTAAATCTTGAGTATACAGCCACAGTTAATAAACAGAAGAAAGATCATAAACCAGCATTGGAAACCAAGAATGGACAGGACCAGAAAAACCGTGGATGATGGTGGCTGAGAATGAACGTATATCATGACACTTCAGAACACCTTCACATAAGGTCCTATATTTACTATGGCTCTGCAGAAACATAGTCTGCCTAACTGCCTATGCTGGAAAATGTTGAAAATTTGCAAGGAGGTTGGAACCAGCATTTTCAAATGGTCCCATTCGAAACCTGCTCTGGTTTCCTTTGTTTTGGCTACCAGTTTGCCTTTAGTGGATGTGAAATCTCATGATCATTTAGTTTAAAATGTCTTCCTCACATCACAGTAAAAGGAAGTCAATAAATTGAGGAAGGATATTTATTGACTTTTCCCTCATATGAGGGAAAACATGAAGCCAAGACATACCCTCACATAATCTTTCCACAGCTCAAAAAAGAAGTGAAGAGTTGTTGTTGTGTACCCAAGGAAAAGCCTGGCCTACCTCTTACGCCTACATCATCATAATATTTTTCCAAAGAAACTTCCATTGTTAGATTTGAAATTAAATAACTCTTCATGAAGTTTTGCATTTGGTGCTTGATAGTCATTAGCTTTTCTCTGATACTCTTTAAATTATAGATGCATTTTGTATAGGCTCTTATCCATCTGTATATTTTGTTTTCCCTATTACCTATTGTAATGTGTTACTTTCCTAACCCCTGCTCTGCTCTTGGGAAATTTTCTTTTACAAAAAACGTGGACCTTAAACTGACTTTTAAAAAATTACTCTTCAGCAAGATTAGTTTTATTTATTATTTTTTTAACTTTTATTTTAAGTTCAGGGTTACATATGCAGGATGTGCAGGTTTGTTACACAGGTAAACGTGTGCCATGGTGGTTTACAGCACAGATCATCTGATCACCCAGGTATTAAGCCCAGAATCCATTAGCTATTCTTCCCAATGCTGTTTCTTCTCCAAGCCCCCACAGGTGCCCAATGTGTGTTGCTCCCAAGCCCCTACAGGTGCCCAATATATGTTGCTCCCGACAATGAGTCCATGTGTTCTCATCAATCAGTTGCCACTTATTAATGAGAACATGTGATGTTTGATTTTCTGTTCCTTAAATAGGCTTTCAACCACAAAACAAATTTTATCTATCATAAATATGAGCACTTAGAAATGATATATGTAGTAGATTTGATTATAGATATCTGCAGCAGAGTTTTTATTTTATAGTTATATCTTACATTAACACCTTACTATAAGCCTACTTTTTCTTTGAGTAAATTTATATAAGCTGTACATTAAATCTGTTTAGCATAGATCTATAAGGTAAATACATACAGTGTATTAATGAGCAATATGCATTTTAAACCCAAATTAGAGGGTGAACGCGATGGCTTACACCTGTAATCCCAACACTTTGGGAGGCTGAGGGAGGCAGATCACTTGAGGTCAGGTGTTTGAGACCAGCCTGGTCAAAATGGTAAAACCCCATCTCTCCTAAAACTACGCACGCAAAAATTAGCTGGGTGTGGTGGTGCACACCTGTAATCCTAGCTACTAGGGAGGCTGAGGCAGGAGAACTGCTTGAACCTGAGATGGAGGTTGCAGTGAGCCAAGATAACTCCACTGCACTCCAGCCTGGGAAACAGAGTGAGACTCAAAAAAAAAAAAAAAAAAAAAAAAAAAAAAAATTAGAAAGTTGTTATGGGTTTTTAAGTTGTTGAAAGCTTTCATTTATTTGATCAAATTTTTCTTAAAATTTCCATGTTCTGTTTACTTGGCTCACTGAAAATTATCCTTTTCACATACAGTATATGTCTAGTAACAGGAACTTGAAATTTTGTCTTTTCTTTTTTCCTCTTCTTTTTGTTGACTCAAAATGATACCTACTTTTTTCTTAAAATGTCAACCCTTTTGATTTCTTTGATTTTATAAGATTTCTCACCTAAAATGTCAAAACAATTCAGTATAACTGGCCTGATAATTCTGTTCCTTTCCAGCTCTGGGTCTCCCTAGCACATGCTGTTAGCTGTGGGAAAATGGAAGGGTATGGACATTGCCTAAACTTCTTCTTTCACTCTCCGTCTTCTTTTGCAACTAGTTAAGGAAAACAGCTTGTCATTTGTGCAAGGTTTCTACAAACAAATTCTTCCTTAGCCAACCCTTAAATCCACATTTCCCACCCCTGCCTGAGTCATGGCCGTGCCATTCAGACTTTTCTTAGCCAGCCTACTGCCACCGAAAATCTACACTTCTGACTTTCAATGGATTTTTCATTAAGACCCTATTACTAATAATGGTCTGTTTCTATTGTACAATGGGGATTTCTTTTAGGTACTTTTAAGAATAGGCTTTTGTGGATTAGGCTGGGAAAAGAAACCATATTCATATTGTGATTCCTATGGTAAGATATAATTAGGTTTCCAAACAAAATACTTCCTCCAAAAAAGGGTTGTAAATGTTTAAGTTGGGGGATTGATATGGTTTAGACCTGTGCTCCCACTCAAATCTCATGTGAATTGTAATTC